TTGAGGGGTTTTAGGGGTTTAGGGGTTTAGGGTTTTGGGGTTTAGGGGTTTAGGGCTTAGGGCTTCCAGTGTTCTAAAAAGCGCTTGGGGTTTCAGGGATTCGGAAATGTACAGCTCAACATTTTGCTCAGATGTGACATTCCGGCTACGCCCGCAACCCGGAAAGCATGCACCCAAAATTAGGGGCCTCAGGGATCAGAACGAGGTTTTGGGGTATATTCTTGTATAACTAGATAGGGAATTGAATATGAGCTGATATCTTGCAGGAACACTTAACGGAACCTTGAAAAATGAACCCGAAACCCCAAACCCCTAAACCCCTAAACCCTAAACCCCTAAACCCTAAACCCTAAACCATAAATCCGAACCCTAAAACCCCAAACCCACCTTCTGGCAAGATGGAGACCCGCATCCGGCAGGAGCAGAAAGCGTCACCGTAGATACAAACTGGACGATCGCCGCCTGGGTTTAGGGTTTAGGGTTTAGGGCTGGACATCCCTTCAAGGTTTGGGGTCAGGGGACATGGCCTCAGCTTGACATCCACATGCCATTGCCACATGTCGGCAAAAGCACGCGGGTCACCAATCACTCCAAATGCTACTTCGGCGCTTCGATTCTGAAATCTCGGAGCGTGCGCGGCAGCTCATTGCTGATCCGATCCAGACAACCATGTCCCATGCGAAGCAATGTAAGCAGCGGATATTGCTGGTACATATCCAGGCCCCTATTACATTGCACCCTCAGACCTTTGAGAATGAATCGTCGCCACGTCGCCGTGAGCAGGGCACAGTTTGAACAGCTCGTGCCGATCGCGCAAAAACTGCAACCTGCAATCAGGTTCACTGTTACGTTTACGGGCCTGAACTGACGGTTCCTCATTGTGACCATGGCAGCCGTACTTCGTGTTCATGCTGATGTCTTTTCGTTTGACGACGATGGACGACCAATGATTATCAAAATGGTATGGAAACGGTGGTAGCAGCGGTGCATGGGAGTGGCAGTACAGGGGGCAGCAGCAACGCCAGCAGTAGATAACTATGAGGATTCACAACTCCAGTAGAGCCCCTAAACCCCTGAACCCTTAAACCTAAACCCTAAACCCTAAACCCCTAAACCCCTAGCCCTTGAACCTGAACCCCTGAAGCCCGAACCCTTAGACCGACCCCTAAACCACTCAACCCCTTAACCCTACGTACGCCCTAACAGTTTATCAATTCACAACTGCAATAAGCGACTCCGAATCCCAGGCCCTTTCGACCGAAATGAGCTTTGCACGAAGGTGTCGACGGTTTAGGGTTTTGTTTTTTTTGGTTTAAGGGTTTTGTGGTGTAGGGTTTAGGGTTTAGGGTTTTCCCTCTTAGGGCTTTCAAGGCTTGACGCTCGGATAAGATTTAGGAGAACAGGGGCTACTATATATGGGTTCTGCTATGGACCGGGCGAAAAGGCTTAGTATCAGGGTAATTTTGAGGGTTAAATTAAAGGCTCTATGAGGGCTACTATTATATGGGCCACAAATACTTAGGGGCTTCGTACCCTAGCCCAGAAAAGGTTAACCTGTTCAAAACTGGTAGGATTATATTAACCCCAAAAGGTTAAAGGCTACCACCCTAAACCCTAAACCCTTTTGCAACGGCCGTGTCAGATCTCGACCGGACTGATAGCCCTAAACCCTAAACCCTAAACCCTAGACCCTAAACCCTACCCACTCAGCTACTAAGAAGAATTCTTGTCCCAGGGACAAGTATCCAGCGTAGGTCCTGGCATGGTCGGACCTGACATACGATGGACCCAAACCCTGCACTTGCTCAGACCTTGGGTTTAAGGGTTTATAAGGGTTTAGGGTTTAGGGTTTAAGGGTTTAGGGTTTAAGGGTTTAGGGTTTAAAGGTTAAGGGTTTAGGGGTTTAAGGGTTTTAAGGGCTTAGGCTTTAAGGCTTTAGGGTTTAAAGGCTTAGGGTTTAGGGGTTGAGGGTTTAAAGGTTTAGGGTTTAGGGCTGTAGGGTTTAAGGGTTTAGGGGCTCAGGGTTTAGGGTTTAGGGTTTTAGAGTTTAAGGGTTTAGGGTTTAGGGGCTCAGGGTCTAGGGTTTATGGTTTAGGGCTGAAGGGTTTAGGGTTAAGGGTTTAAGGGTTTTGGAGGGTTTGGGAATGAGCCAAAGTTCTGACAGTTTGGGGTACACATTGTCTTGTTCCAAGGCTTTGTCCACTAACACTCACTCTCACTAACTACAGAAAAGGACTAAAAGGATTCGCTCCGGCTTGGCTGAACCAATGCATGACCAAGCGCAACGGGCAAGAAGACGACGCCCCTCGCTGGGGCGTTGCATCGTCCTCCCCCGGATCCTCCGCAGTCTCAGATACCTCGACTTTGTCAACTCGCCCTAAACCCTAAACCCTAAACCCCTAAACCCTAAACCCTAAACCCCTAAACCCTAAACCCTAAACCCCTAAACCCTAAACCCTAAAACCCCTAAACCCTAAACCCTAAACCCCGGAATCAGGGAGTCGAGCGCTGCTTAAGCGATTGTCGAGGCCCACCCAGTTGCAAGCCAGGAGACCACACAACAAAAAGGTAAATAGAAGGGTACCGCTGGGGGAGGTAGAGGGGATCCTTCATTAAGAGATGTTGGCCCTAAACCCTAAACCCAAAGCCCTAAACCCTAAACCCTAAACCCTAAACCCTAAACCCTAAACCCTAAACCCTAAACCCCTAAACCCAAAGCCCCAAACCCTGGTGTCTGGGACCTTGGCAGTCTGCACGAAGAGCTCCGGAATGGGATGGAACCGGACGACGGCTCCAATGCGCCGTCGAATCTTGCCGTTGTGCAGCAGCCAGGACACATCCGCAGCTCCCTCCGTCGCCATCTCCTCAGCTCTTTGATCAGGGTTTATTATAAAGGAAACTACAGGTGGGGAGTTTAGGGTATCTTGGGCTTCTGTAAGGCTTCTATAAGGCATATAGACCTTCTACAAGGCTCCTATAACGGTAACTACCCACCTGAAACTGTCCTAGAGTTTACGGTTTAGGGTCTAGGCTTACCTGCTAGCTTAAAGATGATCATAACAAGACAGCGGACTATTGCCTGTAACGGTAGGCCCTAGCATGGAATTTTAAATCCCTAAACCCTAAACCCTGAAACCCTAAACCCTAAACCTTAACCCTAAACCCTAAACCCTTAATTGTTCCACCTCCTGAACACGAGCTCAGTCTCGGCCGTCTCGGCGCTTTTTAGGCGAGTGCTGAGGCGCTGGATCCTTAGCAGGGCCCAGCTTGAAACAGTTTAGGGTTGAGGGTTTAGGGTTTAGGGCCCTAGCCATAGGCCCTAAAGTAGTTCCTTTTTGGGGTTCATATATAGAATCCTATAAGGTAACCCCAAAAAGGAACTACTATGGGGCCTCTGGGTAGCTTGAAACAGTGTTGGGGTTTTAGGGTTTAGGGTTTGAGGGTCTAGGGGTTTAGGGGTTTAGGGGTTTAGGGTTTAGGGGTGTAGGGGTTAGGGGTTTAGGGTTTAGGGGTTTAGGGGCTAAGCTTTCGAACTATGGTAGGGTTATGTAAACCCCAAATGTTAAAAGGTCACCTATATCCGGCCCCAAATACTCAACCCTACCCTAGACGCCAAAGAAACTACCTGTTAAGAACTTACATCTATAGAAATCATAGTAAGGAACCCTAAACAAGGCAGGTTTCGACATTAGAGTTCAGGTTAACCCTAAACCCGCAACAAAGCCCCCTAAAACCCTAAACCCTAAACCCTCACAACCCTAAAACCCCTAAACCCTAAACCCTCAAGACCCTAAACCCCAAACCCTCAACCTTTAAAGCAGCCCTTCACCTGTTAAGACCTTCTATTTATATGTCATACTACCCCAAACCCTAAACCCTAAACGGCCCTAAACCCTATAAACCCCAAACCCTCAACCTTTAAAAATAAAGCCTTCACTGCCCAGGGTCAGCTCGCGCTCCAGCTGCCGCAGTGCGTGCACCGCGCGCTCGCTGAGAAGCCTCGGGCCCGGTCCGGGCCGCGTGGCGCCCGCGGGGGCTTGGCCCACCGCATTCCTGGGATTTCTAGGGGTTTAAGGGCTTAGGGGTTTAGGGCTTTAGGGCTTATATATATTTTTGCGGGTCCTTTTCCAAGCGGTATAGGGCTTAAGGTTTAAGGTTCTTGAAGCTTCTTCGGCAGTCTTCTATTGTTGTTAGGGCTGTTAGGGACTGCTAGGGCTACGCGTGTTCTCAAGTTGACGAAGTTACCACGGGAACAAGAGATCAAGTTTACACATGTAATCTCGCAGCTTGCCTTGCTATGGCAACTTAGAACTGAAATTCTCCACTGGAAGCACTCACATCTAAAGTAAGGAGATGTAGCTACGAATGCACCCGTATCGCATTTATACTCACCTGCACCATAGATATAGCTCCAAAATCTCAAAACCCTAAATGCGCAACCCGTTAACCCTAAACCCTATAAGCCCTCATATAGAAGCCTAAATAGTTACCTATACTATTTTGCGGAGTTCCATTATAATTCATACAGTATAAAGTAGTAGCCCTTTAAAGGAACCCCTTGTCTAATTATTAAGGCCCCTACATTAAACCCGAAACTCTGTTCCTCTAAACCCTAAACCCTAAACCCTAAAACCCGAAACTCTGTTCCTCAACAAGAGCTCAGTTTCCCCGTTTGGGCAGTGCCGGGATCTGCCTCGAAGGAGCAGAGGAGGTGGCCTCCATGCCAAGGCCTTACCTGAGTTTCGATAAAAACACGAATCGATCTATAGATATACATAAAATAATACAGTATAATATAACATAATCTAATTATAGTATAATACATATATATATACATACATACATACATACATACATACATACATACATACATGCATACAGAACATATAAATACAAATACAAATACAAACATCCACACACATGTGTATATATATATATACACATCTGTATATATATAAATATATATATATATATGTAAATGTATGTATATAAAGGTTTAAGATTTAGGGAATAGGGTTTAGGGCTTGGGGGAGAGTATGGGGGCCTAAGTCCCTTATAGGATTCTGGAATTAGGGTTTAGGGTTTCTATGAGGGGCTAGTATAAGGTATGAATGAATACATAGGCTCAGAGACCCCGCCAACACCCCCCATAAGTGAGCAATACACGTCGATCATATTAAGGAGCCTCCTATGTTAAGGATCCCCATATGTTCAAGTATGTTCCAAAATTACAGGGTTTGAGGGTCTCTGTGTACTCAGAGACTCCTGAATGGGGTTTCGGGTTTACAAGTCAGGGTGTGGGGGATTAGGGACTCCCAAAACATCATGAGGTGAGGAAAAGATTCCTCGATTCATAACAAGATCCGAGGTCCCGGCAGACTAAAAGAACGTGGCTTTTCAAACAGGTTTCGGAGTTTCAAATGCCAGAATGAGAGCCAGAATGAGAACAGCATCGTTGGTTGCGTCTAGAAGTCAAGGCTTAACGCCTAGGGCGTAGGGCTTATGGTAATGTAGGGGCCTTCAGTGCAAGACTAAGTTTCTGGGCTACATAGTATGCTATTGTTGTAGTAAGGAGCCCCAAGGAAGGGTGTCACCGACTTTTCCTGTTTAGCAGACATCTACAGTTTTCTTGAAGCAATCTCGCCAACAAGGGCCCAGCTTCCTCTAGGAGGTCGGGGAAAAGCGCGACGAATTGCAGCAGCTTTCCATCCCCCAGGCGCTTGCGGAGGTCGGGGCGCACTGCCGGCAAGTAGTTCGCCTTGCACGGGCTTTCTCTTTTAAAGTTCTGTTCTGCTTGGCTCATTGGGTGTAGGGTGTACGGTTTCGGGCCTCTTAGGGTTTAGGGCGAAACGAGAGGTGTCCCAAGGCTAGCAAAAGAAAGGGATTCGGATGAAAGGTGCGGTACTGCCATGCCAGAATCGTGTCGGCCGCAGCTACCACACTACCACTACCACTACTACTAGTACTACTACTACTACTACTACTACTCCTACTGCTGCGTCGAAGTGCGGGCCTACTAAACGATGCATACCACCCGTTCGGTCGCGAAGAAGGTCAGCAAACAACCCCCAAACCCTTGTAGAAGCCTTCCTGGGCCCTCAGATTAATAACCAGCAGAAAAACTCCCGAAACCCGGAACCACATTTAAAGCAACGAGAAAACCTCCCGGAACTACTGGTACAAAAAGCTCGAAAGTTGACCTGCAAGGTCCCACCATGCCGCCGCACCTTGGAGTCTTTGGCGTAAAGTTTAGGGTTTCGGGCCATTAGGGGCTGGGGGATTTCCGCTTTAATGGTTTAGGGATCCGGGTACTAGGGTGCTAGGGTTTCGCGTTGAGGATTTGGGTGTTGAAGTGGGGGAACACGGTTTAGGGTTTCGGGTTTAGGGTTTAGGGTTTCGGGTGAGTTTATCGTTTTGTATAGGAAATATTCGTTAGGAACCAGGATTCTACAGAGCTGTTACAGGGTTCTACAGGACTTTTACAGGAAATTAGGGTGCCATGTGGTCGATTTAAATATATTGGGGTTCGGGGGCTTTAAGAATTCGGCGATAGAGGTTTGGGCTTGAGGAAATCGACAGAAACGGTTCAGCACTGGCCAGATTCATGCGTCTCAGAAGCCTCTCCCATCTGCCGCGCTGGCTTCTGCTGATCATGGGCGCCCAGAAGGCAGAACTGACGAAAACAACCCTAAACCCAAAACCCTAAGCCCTAAACCGTCTAGGCCCTGAACCCTGTAAGCTGCACTCTACAGGTTCCATGAACCCACAGCTTTCATGGACAAATGATTGTATTAGGGTTTAGGGTTTGGAATTTTGGGGTCATAGTCATCTGTCCCTCCAGTAAAAAAAACTCCAACTCCAAAATTACCTGTTTCCTCCCTAAACCCTGAACCCTACACCCCTAAAGCCTTAAATCACAAACCCCTCTAAATTCTTACAAAGGCACCTCCTCGGCCAAGTCTTCTGCGAGGGCTCGGTCCGTCATGCGCCAATGGCACAGGAGGCAGCATTACGGCTGCCGGGTTTAGGTTTTAGGGCTTGGGGTTTTGGGGTTTTGGGTTTAGGTCTTGGGGTTTGGGGTTTAGGGCTCAGGGTGTAGGGCTTGGGGTTTGGGCTCCTACTTAGCAAGGACGTTTGGGGTTTGGGGTTTGGGGTTTAGGGCTTAGAGGGGATTTCACAAGGTTTCCGCAGGGTTGCTTTATAGGGTCTTGAATAAGGGTGTAATGGGGTTCTAGCAAGGTTTGGGGGTCAGGTTGTGTGGTTTTAGGGCGATGGGACTTTGGGGACTTTTTGTATGACGGCAAGGCTCTGGGCTTTCTGCTTTAGGATTGCAGGGCTTCAGTTTCAGTGGGGCCCCGGGCATTAGAAAAGTCAAGTATAGTTTCCTTGGTGCTAAGCGTTGAATCAGCGTAGAACCTTAAACCATAAACCATAAACGCGTGAACCCTAAGCTTCAGCGTGTGTCAGCTGCGTCACTCTGAGCCAGCTCCTGCCACAGGGTAGTGAGCTGTCTTATGTGCCTAAAAGGGGTCTAACCGTCTATATAACCCTTCCAAATCCCAGATAAATCCGCATGAATAACACCCTGCTAGAACCCTTTACACAAACACTGAACCCTAAACCCGAAACCCCTAAACCCAAAGCCCTTAGAGTAGCCCTAAGTACACTTAACCCTAGCACCCAGTGAGCCCCGGTACACGAGACGCCGGCTCCCAGCACTGCGCCGCTTCTGGCTCGTTCTGCACGGATACCTTCGTAGCGAATCCGAGACCACAGCACTCCTTTAAACCCCAAAAACCCAAAAACCCTAAACCCCTAAACCCCTAAACCCCCAACTCCTAAACCCTAAACCCTTCCGGGT